TATAATATTTGTAATTTATTTTTATTGTGTATAAATTACAAAACTAATAATTTTTAAAAATTTAATGATAATATTTTTAACTTATATATTACAGAATATTTGTTAATACTTTAATAAATATAAATTTTTTTAAATATTTTCATTAATTTAAAGTATAACTTTTAATATTTTTTAGTATTTTTTTAAATGTGGATATCTTTAATATTTTGGACATATAAATATAATTTATATATGTTTTAAAACCTTTTTCTAATATTTGTTTTTAAAAATATAATATCATTTTTAAAATTTTATATATTTATATTTATATATTTATAAAAGTAATTGAATTAAATTTATTATCCCCTCATATATTATTATACATTATTAGTGTAATTTTAGTTTAATTAAAAGTTAGAATACAAATATACTATACTAATATACCATTATATTATTTTCATTGTATATAAATTACAAAATTAATAATTTGTATACTATACTATACTAATATATTATTTGTATACTATACTAATATAAATATATAAATATAAAATCTATAAAGTTTTAAAAATGATATTATATTTTTAAAAACAAATATTAGAAAAAGGTTTTAATGTCCAAAAATATTAAAGATATCTACATTAAAAAAATACTAAAAAATATTAAAAGTTATACTTTAAATTAATGAAAATATTTAAAAAAAATATTTATTAAAGTATTAAAAAATATTTTTTAGTATATACGTTAAAAAAATTATCATTAAATTTTTTAAAAATTATTAGTTTTGTAATTTATATACAATGAAAATAATATAATGGTATATTAGTATATAAATATATAAATATATAAATATGTAAATATATAAATATATCAATATATAAATATATCAATATATCAATATTTAAATATATATTAAAATATATAAATATATTTGTATTTATAGATTTTATAATTATATAAAGATATAAATATATATATATATATATAAAGATATAAATATATAAAGAAATAAAGATATAAATATATAAAGATATAAATATATAAAGATATAAATAAATATATAAAGATATAAATATATAAAGATATAAATAAATATATAAATATATTAATATATAAATACATTAATATATAAATATATAAATATATTAATATATAAATATATAAATATATAAATATATAAATATATAAATATATAAATATATAAATATATAAATATATAAATATATAAATATATAAATATATAAATATATAAATATATAAATATATAAATATATAAATATATAAATATATAAATATGTAAATATGTAAATATGTAAATATGTAAATATATAAATATATAATATGTAAATATATAAATATATAATATGTAAATATATAAATATATAAATATGTAAATATATAAATATATAAATATGTAAATATATAAATATATAAATATGTAAATATATAAATATATAAATATATAAATATGTAAATATATTAATATATCAATATTTAAATATATATTAAAATATGTAAATATATTTATATTTATGGATTTTATAAATATATAAAGATATAAATATATATATATATATATATATATATATATAAAGATGTAAATATATAAAGATATAAAGATATAAATATATGTAAAGATATAAAGATATAAAATATAAAGATATAAAAATATAAATATATATCTTTAATATTTTGTACATATAAATATAATTTATATATATTTTTAAATCTTTTTTTAATATATATTTTTAAAAATATAATTTTATTTTTAAAATTTAATATTTAAATTTATATATTTTTTTTCAAATATATAAAGATATAAATGTATAAAGATATAAATAAATATATAAATATATCAAAAATATATATATATATATATATATATATATATATGAAAATATAAATATATAAATATATAAATATATCATTATATATATATATATATATATATCAATATATTAATATTATCCTCTCATATATTATTATACATTATTAACGTAATTTTAGTTTAATTAAAAATTAGAATACAAATATATTATATTATATTAATATACCATTATGTTATAATATTTGTAATTTATTTGTATAGTGTATAAATTACAAAACTAATAATTTGTATACTATACTAATATATAATTTATATACTATACTAATAGTATAATATACTATATTATAATATTATTTGTATACAAAACTAATATCTTTATATCTTTATATATAAATATACAAATATGGAAAGATATAAATACATGTAAAAATATAAAGATATAAATATATGTAAAAATATAAAGATATAAATATATCAATGTATAAATATATTAATATTTAAATATATATTAAAATATATAAATATATTTTTATTTATAGATTTTATATATATATATATATATATTTATACTGGATATACATTTATTTGTATATAAATATAATTTATTTGTAAATTATTGTTAAAAAATCCTAAGTAGCTCAAATGGTTGGAGTTTCAACCTCTAACTCTAAGGTAGGTATCGATTCGAATCCCGACAATAACAATAAACCTAATAATAAGTAACTCAGTAGAGGAAATAAATAAATATAATTAATTTTGTTATTGATTTAGCGACCGATTTAAATCGGTCGCTATTTTTTTAACTTTGTCACCGATTTAGCGACCAATTTAATATATTAATTTCGGTCGCTATTTTGCGAGCGATTTTTTGACATTAGCGACCGATTTTTTCGGTCACTAAAATGTTTTTTTTCTTGTAGTGAAAACACAAATTATGAAAACAAATTAAAGTGACAAATAATAAAATCTTATATCGATTAGAGATACAATAATAGTATAATATAAAAATGAGTATAATATATTTATCTTACTAAGTTGATTTTATAAGATTTAATTAGGTATCTCACCATTTCTAATAATAGAGAAGAGAAGACAAATTTGATGTAAAACATCTTGAATTGAAAATTTTTAATGTAGAATTTGTATATAATCAATAGAAGAAATTAAAAATTCCATTCTATGAACTTGAGAGAAGACCAGATAGAAATTGTAAAATTTAGACTTAGGAAGTTTAAAAATGAAAGATAAATTATGTCTTTTGATTTGTTTAAGTTTGTTTATACAACTATCAAAAGTGATTGAAATACACAAGACTCATAATTCATCGATTCAATAATTTGGAGCTTGATTAGAAAATTTTACAAAAGTGAGTTCAACATCAATTTTATGTTTTGTTGAGTGAAATGTCAATTAATTTAGTTGATCAAAATTCAATACATTTACTGAATGGATTGAGTCTTCATTCAACAAATTGACAAAATTAGAAATAAACTTTTTGTGAATAATTCATTAGACAAAATACGATTGTGTTGAGCGAATCCCAATATTCAATATTTATATTTATTCTTTAATTTACTATTTATGCATCAATAATATATATATATATATATATATATATATAAATTGAATACAAATTTATTTAATTACATTTTACTAAATCTGTATTAGAAATAAATAATTACATAATTAAAAAAATTATATACAAAATATACTACTAAAAATATTAATAAAACATATTTATCATTACTTATAATTATCAAAATAGTGTTGTAGATATTAATTATAAGATACACTAAATTCTTAAAAGAAAAAAATCAAAGATCATAAATATTTATGAAATTATAATAAAAATGTTGTTTTAACCTAACATTTAAATATAATATTAGTTATGTTCTAAAAATAACTAGCATATATTATTATCTGTATGATAGTCAAGAACCATCTAATGTATTTTAACTTAGATATAGTTATTCACCTAAAGCAGATTTTAAAATAATATGATGAAAAACAATATTTTTTTTTTTATATAGTCATATTCTTATATCTATGTATTTTAAATAAAAACTACATATCATCATATTCTTAAACTAAGGGAAATATAAAATACATATTAAGGAACGATATAAGATAATATTTATTAATGACTGAAAACTTAAACTATTAATCCAATATTTCACATTTAAAATTGTACTAAGCATATTTGCAAAGGGTAATAAATCACCTTTAAGTTACAAAATCATTCAATAAAATTATACAATATAAAGGAAAATCTAGAAAAATATTGAAAAAAAGAATTAAATATTTTTTTTAAACGAGAAAATAATAACTAAATGAAAACTATAAAGGAAGATACTGTATTTAGCTAAAAAATAAATAAAATTATTAACTTCACAAATTATTATTATTATTAATAATAATAATAATAATAATAATAATAAAATACAACATTTTATCAAAAATATCATCATTTAATTTCAAAATATAAATGTTTTTTAATATTAATATATTTTATTTATTTATTGTATATGTATATAATTCTATATATTAAATTAAAAATAATAAATGATATAAAACTGGCCTAATTATAAAACAGTATAACATTAATTAAATGTAACATATTATAAATAAATAAATATAAAAATATAGAAGTAAACATTTTAAAAATGCTATTATAAATAACTTTTAAAAATTTTTATAAATGAATAGAAAAAAATGTTTATGAATAAATTCTAAAAAGCTTTTAAACTAATATAAAAAAATAAAAAATTAGTTGAATTATCAAGTATAATAAAATTTGATTAAAATAAGTCGTAAAAATCTCAATCAATTATCATAGAGTAAGTCACATTTTTTTTTATCATATATTAAATCATAAAAATATTTTTCAATTTTCATCATCTCTGATTTTTTTAGTAAAATTAAATCATGTATAATTTCAGTTACAGTTTCAGTTATTAGTAAAATTAAAATTTCCTATGATATTCATATACCTTGATATTTTCAATATTATAATACACTATTATACTTATATATATATATATATATATATATATATATATTATTTTTTAATTTAATTTTTTTAGATAAGATTACGATGAATTAAAATTACAACTAACAATCTCAAATGGAAATAATGTACATGAAACCATAGTTTCTAGATACAATAATTATTTTTTTTCTTTTAACAATCAGATCAGTTATAAAACACCTCCACCTCTTCTTTCCATGACACTTTCTTCTTTATATTTTTCTTTCCGTCCATTGACAAGTTCCCAGACTTTTCAATAATCTGCATCTAAGAATTTAACACCATTTTTATTTTTTCATTTAAATAAACTCAAGATCAATATTAGTTTGTTACGTAGAAAAATGAAAATAACATCATAATACAACTGGTAATTTTTGTAGTAACTGTAAATAAATAATTTCTTATTTTGTTTTATTTTTTCGTATTGAAAACAATAAACTATGTTTTAAGCAAAGACAATACCTCCGTATCAACGTAATTCATCTCCCTTTCAATGGGCACACCGTGAATATCTTTTCTGCTAGATCCAGGTTTTGCCTCATCCCTGAAAAATCTGAAATAAAAAAACATTGGTCACAACGTTATTCAATAAAATATAAAAGATGACAACAAATTAGAATGTTCCATACCGAGCTTCTTCTAGAAGGATATCTAGCGTCTGGTTTTCTGCTCCCAATTTCATTTTCTTAGAAACACCCTCCTGAAATATTCGTATAATTTTTAGCATTCATACTCTGAAATTTAGCATTTCTACTTTTCACCAACTTTTTAACTATTTACACGTAAATTCATAATAAAATATTATTTTATTCTATAAACAACTCTAAATTAAAGTCACATATTATTTATAAGATATAATTCACATTTATATAATATATATATATATATATATATATTATTTCATTAATGAATTTGACTAAATAAATAAAATTAATTTATTAAAAAACTTAAATTCACAATTAAATAATAATAATACAATTAAAAATAAAATTTTAAAAAAGTCAAAATAATTTTTTTATGACATAACAAGTAGATATTTATGATTAAAAAGTATTTTTGTTTGAAGAAGTGGTGTATAAGAATTCATATGGATTATAATTGAAATATGAATATAAGTTCAATAAAAATGGAAAAGTTGAATAATTTATAAAAAAATGTATAAGATTTAAAAAAAAAATTGATGTGATATTCTTTATACGATTCACTCTTGTTAAAAAAACTCGCTATTTTTTAACTTCGCTCAAAAATACCAAACAAATCCTAACCTTTTGCATATCTGAATAATCTTCCACTAACGAATTGTATTGAAGAGTAGCCTTTGCATCTTGATCCGAGTGACAAGCTTCATTACTCCTTTTCATGTTTAAAACTCAATACTGAATTTTCAATTAGAGATGATGAACTTTCACTGAAGTTTTCTCTCACACCCTTCTTCTCCTCTTTTTGCTAACAAGATCTGCATTGATAAATTGAAAGTTTCAACCTAAAATTAAAATTTAATTGATAAACAGAATGGCTAAAAAAATGAACAGTTGCATGATCATTAACCTAGCTGAAGTTGAGGGTCCTCTTGTTTTACTTACCCTGAGTGAATAACGTTATGTTTTGTGTTTAATGAAGATGAAAACCTTAAATAAATACTTGAAATTATGTTGAGAAAATAAGAGATAAAAAAAATAACTAGAAGATTAATGAAGGAAGTAAAAAACTAATTATCTTTTTGAAGAAGAAAGAGTAGTTATCGTATCTCCACTTTATATTTTATATCTTTTATCTTCTATCATCTATTTTTTTAACCCCCATATATATATATATATATATATATATATATATATATATATATATATATATATATATATATATATATATGCATAAATTTTCTTAACTGGTATTCTTGAATCTAACAAACTTGTATACTTAACTCTAAATGGAATATCAATTTTTTCTTCATAATAAGAATATAAACTATTTATTATAAATCTAATATTTATTTGACATATTCAAAGATATTATAAATTCTAATTATAATATAATTTAAATATATTTTCTTAATTTTACTAAATAAAAATAAATAACTACTCTGTACATGACACGAACTAAATCACTAGTTTATCATAAACTATAAATTGATAAAATATTTTACTTGATATTTTCTTATTTTTCAATAATTAATTTATATAAACTAGAACAAGCAGAGTAGATAATTTTTTCGAGTCACACTTCAACGAAAATATTTATAGATTTTTTGTTTTCAACTAAGATTCAAGCTGATTTTTATTTTATGAAAAAATTCACTTAACGTAATTATATTTACTAGTAATAACATGTATTCATGTTTTAATGAAAAAAATTACCAAAATAAAATATCAGTTATAAAACATAGTTATCAAAATATAAAAGATAAATCAAAATATAAAAGATAAACGATAACATAAAAACATAGTTATCAAATTTATGTTTTATATATTAGTATAAATAAAAGCATAGTTATCAAATTTATGTTTTATATATTGGTATAAATAAAAACATAGTTATCAAATGACAATTATAATAATATTTTATATTTATAATTTATATAATTATGATTAAAAATTGTCACAATTAGCAAATCAACATTATCCATAATTAATTGTACCCTTGACTCTCTTTACTGGAAAGATAAATAATTATCATTTATTTAATTTTACTTTACTTTTTAATTTTTAAATAATTTTATAAATTAATTTTAAAAATCAAAACAAATTTTAAATAATTATTTAATAACTTTAATTTAAAAAATTATTTTAATGAACAATAAAAATAATTATAGTTAAATAATAACTTCAACCATTTCATAATAATAAAAATAGTGTCATTTCTAATAAAAATATACTTACTACTAATAAAAAAAATACATTTCATTGATTTTAATTTTTAAAATTATTTTTCAAAAGTAATCAATTTTTTTTACTTTTTAAAATTAAAATTTGAGTATTTTAAAATAATAAACAAAAAAATCCTTATATTTTGTGTTAATTTTAAAATTTGAGAGAGGTAATTAAATATTTTACATGCTAAAAAGATTATTAAAAATTTTAATTATCTAATATAATTTATATATTTAAAAGTATTTTTATTTTATATTTCCTTCGTTAAAAACTATAGTTTACCTTAATCATATTATTTTATTTTAAAACTATTATAATTTCCAAATTCAAAATAACATTTGTAATTTTTTTCTAATCATATCTCTATTTATACACACCAAAACATAAAATTTTACCAAACTGCTGTATTAAATTAATAGGGATATTTTAGTGTACAAATGTAATAACTATATATTTTTTTTATTGGATGTACACTAAACTAAAACAACTATGATTTTTAAACATTAAATCAGTTTTAATTATATAAAAGTAACTATTTAAATTATTTTCTTATTGATGACTCATATAATTGGATCAGATGATTAAGCGACCCTTGGTAGATGAGGAATTAAATTAACAGTGATTTATAATTATATGGGTGGCAGTGGTACATAATTTAACTACAGAGAGTTTACGATCTCCATTTTCTTTATCAAAATATTGAGAACTTCTATTTCCTATCTTATTACAAGTTTTTTTCACTGAAAAATATAAAACAAAATATATTTATATAAAATAGTTGTAATTAATTCGATTATTAGGAGAGTAAAACATTTTTTGATTATAATAAATTTAATTATAATATATATATATATATATATAATAATAATAATAATAATAATAATAATAATATGATATTTTATAAAAAGTATAAAATTAAGTAAATCTCAATACAGGATATAAATTTTATATGTTTAACAAAATATGATTATATTTTATTTGAGATAATATTTATTAATTGATTTTGAAAATGAATTACCGTTAATTTTATAATTATTTTTTATTTTTTTTTATAAAGATTCTATTCATTTTAATATATTTTGTTCAATCATGTTAATATGTTTTATTTAATCATGTTTATTGAAATCATGTTGATTGAATTATGGATAATATTAGAAACAATTTTATTATTATAATATATTTTAATAGTTTGTGTGGATAAATATCCAAGATTTCACAAGAGGAATATTATATATAAATCTTTATAAATTTCAAGTTTCAAGTCTTAAAAATAAGCTTATGCACTTGAGCGAGAAATCATACTTTTTTTCATTTAACAATGTTATCACTAATGAATCTAAAATAACTCAATATTAATAATCTATCTTCTAATAATCCAACCCAATTAACATCAATATATAGATTTATTTGTTGGTAATTTCTATTTTTGATAAACAATACTCTTTTTCGAGATACTAAATTTAAATATCTTAAATTGTGCATAATTGTATATATTACTTTCCAGAATTATGCATGGATGAAAATACTTAATGCATAGACAATATCTGATTTTATTTATGTTAAGTACATCAATCTCCTTAGAAGTCTTTGATATCTTAGTTTATCAATCAGGACTTTATCCGATATAATAAATAACTTCAAATCTTCCTCTATGGGTGTATTCACTAGCTAACATACCTTTGTCTTGTAACAAGTCTAAGGGACTAAGATCTTGCCCTTCTAATTCCTTTGATAAATACTCATGGTTTGTCTTGTAACAAGTTTAAGGGACCAAGATCATACCTTTCTAATTCCTTTGATAAATACTCACGGTCACATAGTGCTTTAACAATCATATCATCCACATATTATTGGGTTGATTAGTTATGGTAACTGGTCCAAATCCATTAAGGATACAATTTTATATTATTATTAATTATCTTTATTTCATTATAATATCTTTAACAATTAATATCTTTTGGGCTATTAGTTGTTATATTTTGGACTATTGTTATCTTTTGAGTCCTATATAGAGGGACTCAACTAAGGAGTAAACCTCACCTCATAACTCATTCTCAAATACATCACTCTCTTCTCTACAAACTGACTTGAGTGTCGAAGTGCCTTTAGTAGGTGAGCCTTTGTGTTTTTTTCTAGCGAGGAAACTTCAATTGGACACTTGGAACTCGACTGACCGACTTGATCTTCTTATCTTGCCAATCACTCTTCAGCTCGGTAAGAACAACAATAAAATCTTACCTTTTTGAAAAAAAAAAAGTATATGATGCACTATAGCCCCACAACAATTGTCCAGTTACGAATTGAACTCTTGACCTTATCTTTGATATTAGTTGTTGAATTAAGTGTTTACCACTAGCCTTTAGTCATGCCATAACTCTTTTTACTTAAAAGTGTCACAACCCAAATATCATGATTCGATTGTAACTTGACCTTCTCGACCTCCACGACGAGATAATTGATGCACCTCGCAACATATATGTCTAGGTATATCCTTTTATTACAAGTATTTTTTTAAATCATTCTATTTTTAGTGTAAATTCAACAACATCCTACTGGTTTCTTTCATGGTGGACAATCAATAAGAATCCAAGTATTGTTCTTTTGAAGTAAATTCATCTCCTCATTCATAGCGGTCTTTAATCTTGGATAAACTAAAACTTTATGCAACTTGTTAGGAAATAACTACAAAGATAACTGATTGATATATATTTTATTTGTTTATGATAGTTTATGATTAGATAGATAGTGACTCATATGATATTTAACTTTATTAGAGAGTTATATTTCATACATAAGTTTAAGAATAACTTTATTGAGAAAATTTGACAATTGTTTTCTAATCAAAAAAGTAATTGGTAACATATTCATGAAAAAGGTTGTGGTACTTCAATATTATATCCATTTAGAGCTTCATATGACACTTCCATATTATCTCCACTAAGAAGTTCATCCAAGACTTCAATTTTATCTCTAGCAAGGGATTCATGTAAACCTTCAATGTCATCTCTAGTACAAGATTTTGGTCACTAGTACACAAAATGCTTTTTTGTTAAGTGGTAAAAAGTTGATATAATTATGCCTTGAATTGTTATGAAACCACTTAACTTATGTTAATTCTAATATATTTTTCTCCCAATATAGGATGAATTCGAGAATACCTTGATACAAAAGGAAGGAGCATAATTGTCAGCATAATTAGAGTAAAATTGAAAGAAAGAAGAGCGCTTAAACGAATGAATGATGCAAGGCCCGACCCAAATTCTCTTATAAAAGGATAAGTTGTGTTTTAAGAAAAGGAAGCAGTCTTGGAGGAGAGGAGGCACGACTACTGTGAGGGTTTTGTCTAATCTTCATCAATTCTTCACTTCATCAATTGGAGCATTGTAATGGCCAACATGAGTGGCTAACTTCATTCTCTTAGGATTCGGTACACTTCCTTTGAACTCTTTTGTATCATGGTGATATTTTGAGATATTAATCTATGTTTTGATGTT